TTGGGTTAGAACATAACATCGACCTCAGGACACTTGGTGACCACAGCTGTGGACTTCAGCTGGTTTTGGATTAGAAGAAAACAGTGGTAACAGCACTATGCTCAGTCAGGAAAGAGGACCGCCACGTATTACATCCTCCAAATATTTTGATAGATCTTGGTAGTTCCTGAAGACCTTCACAATAGATTAAGCTTCACTCCTAAGACTTGATCCAGTTGAGAAGCTAACCAAAAATCTCTTTTCACATCTCATTGCACTAAATAAAAGTGGGCGCTGAGCACAAAAGTTTAGCTTTGTGCAAGCAGAGCTGTTGCAAAAAGATACCATTTCCACGTACCATCCGCATACTGTTACACTTCGGTAGTCACACAGCAATCCAGCAATCTCTGCCATTTCTCACCATGAAGAAACTGCATTGTGCTAAAAAGCCCTCCAGAATAAAGCAGATAATATCTTTTGGGATGGCGCCTTGTATTTTCCAAGAGTTGTCTCTCTGCAGCAGCTATTACAAGAAACTAAACCAAACCCTCCTATTTGTAAATTAGAAAGAAAAAGCACAACTCAAACTGGTATTTGGTTTAGGACTGAATGGTTCGCACAGTGCTTAAGAAGCATTTTAGACAAAAGCAAGCTTTCTGCCAAACATTTGAGGGGGAAGAGAAAATTTCTGCTTTGCTGTCGGAATACGGTTATAAACCAAGATGACAAAATAGCCTGGCACCGCTGCCCACAGTGAAATAAGCTGTGCATCTTGTTCTTCACAAGAACAGCTCAATTTGTCTTCATCCTGCCCAGTTTAGCTTTTACAGCCTTTCCCTGAAGACAAATTCCCGTCCCCACAACCCCTGGAATTTAAGGTGGCAGAGACGATGAGGGAAGATGGGCAACTTCTAGGCAGAGAGGGCTTTTGCATGAATTTCTATCCAGCACAATCATGGCATAGCCAGACTAAACACAAGCATGGCTGCTGTGCAGATCAGATGTGTATCTAAACCTGAAGTCTGACTAGTGAAGCAGAATTGACTGAGCTTCTTCAAGCTTCTTTCCTCCCCTCCTCAATCATCTCACTTGCTCCCATTGAAGTGGAACAGGTTTAACATACAGAGATTGGGTTTTTTTCATGCAGCTGCTACTAAGCACTGTGCTGAAGCAAGACAGACACACCTGAGCTCACTCATAGGAGAAAAGAGCAAAGGTACTACACAGTGTAATTGCGGGGGGAGAAAAAAGCACATTGTTTTACCTCAGTTCTGTAACAGATTATGTACCAAACTCATTGGCAGAAACAGGCTGATTGCTCCAGCTGAAGGTACCCAAAGATTTTGTTTCTTTTGCAAAGCCCAGACATTGGCAAGAGCATCTCTTTCCCCAACCCAAAGAACATCCACAATTCAGGAAGGTAAGGAAAAGACGTTAAAAGGCAGAAAGCAAAGAGGATAGAGAATATATCAGCCGAGCAGATTGGAAGACTCAATAAAGACACCTATTGTTACCAACAGAAATACTCGACAGACCACAGGCTGAAAACCACCATCTTAAACTAAGCAATCCATGAAAAACAGTGGAGAGCAGCAAGATTAATTTAATCTACGCCCCCCTATCTCCACTGGAAGATTTGTAAAGGTCTGTAGATCAAAAGAGTGTGAGAATTACTGCTGTACAAAACCTAAAGTCTTAATATTTTTGTTACTGTCTCCTTTGTTACCTGATCAGCTGAATCCTCTTTGCATCGTCTCACAGTTTTCGTTATTAGCTGTTAAGCCCAGGATCTTTGGACTGTGGCAAGCGCACAGCCTCGGGTGCCCAGTCTCCAACTCCTGCAGCACTGCATCGTGAAGAAATGACCTGATCGTGCCAAGGGGCCAAGCGATGGCCCTCTCGAGCAGAAGGTCAGCTGAGCAGTTATAGATCATTGCTTTCGGAGACTTCTGTAGCACAACAGGGACCAAACTGGTATTGAACGTCAAACTAAGCAGAAAAGTAATCCCCTAAGCTGCAATTTTCCTAAATGCTGGCAGCTAGAAACTGCCAACCGGTAACAGCAGTTGGCAGCTCCAGTCTGAGCTGAGGTTTTTTTCCATTTAACTCTCCCATTCTCCCCAGTTCAGCCTGGGCAGCAGCACACAGATCTCTCCACTGTTGTAAAACACAGCATTTTGAACAAGACCTTGGAACTCCCTCACAAACCACCTCTTCAAATGTTGCTAATGGGGAATATCTTACATTGAGGCAATCCTCAACTGCATGCTTATGGTCTTCTCCACCTGCCTCCACCCCATCAAACTGGCACCTTTTCAGCAGGGATTTTCTGTTCAAGTCTCCCACTTGTGGGAGTGGGCAGCTTGCTTTGGGGCAAGCTACCAGAGCCTTGCCCCTGTCAGTCAGTACCCAAGGAGACACTATACAACCTCAGGGTGAGGTTTCATCAAAAATGTTTGGTCTATGTAGTTTTACCAGCAGAAAGGCACCTACCACTGCTGGAAAATCCCCTGCTTTTCTCATTTCTTTCAGGCCAGCTCTGCAAGTCTTTCCAGAGTTAAGGTTTCAAGGTCAACATGTTTTTTACTGGAAACCTACAGATGAATAAACAACTCATTTTGCAACAAACCTTTAAGCAAAATGCGAAGGTTTATTTTAAAATAAGCCTGGCAACCCTCTCAGTTGCTTTTATAAAGAATATTATGCTGTGTCAATCTCCTTTAAGAACACAATCTCAAGTACAGCACGTAGGCATGTGCTGCAAAGACACAGAATGGCATTCAGGAAGTCAGCTGGTGATTAAGCAAGGAAGCATGAGAAATCAAGACAAAAAGCGTCTCCAACAACAGCTGTGCAATAAGTTTGCATTTCCTGGTCCACTTCAAGTCCCTTGTCTTTCACAGATGTGCCAAATGAATTATCACTGCACAACTATACGAACAGATTAATTTGATAAACCTATATAATCAAGAAAACATACCACTTCCACAGGTATTTGCCTTATCTTATCCTGTGCCTAATAGTCTTCAGGACTTCAGCTTTGATGGTGAAAACTAAACATTCACACATATACCTGTGTGTACACAGCAGGCACCAGATATCTAACACTAGTAAATACACACTTTATATAGATATATATGAAAAATATTCCTTGTGACAGATAACTGTAAGCCAAGCAGTCATATTAAGCCACAGAATGAAGTTTATTGGATCTTCTCAAATTCTTTGTACAGTTTTGCTGCTAAACGGACACAACATATTGGCGTATTGCCTTTAATCTTTATTTCAATCATAAGTTCAACTTGAAAGAATTGGTAACACATTTAATGGCATCTTCAATAAATAAAATGACAAAAAAAATCTAGTCTTTGCACAGACACATTACAATCCACTCCAAATTCAATATTGCCAAAACATTGTTTTTTTCCCAAAAACTTGCTCCAAAGGGTTTTCTTTGTTTCAGCGCTTAAATACACAGAGAAGTATATGATGAGAGAAAACAGATACTCTATTCTGAACAGAACTTGTAAGAACCAGTAACTTGGGAACAAAAGATAATGAAATCTCTCTAATTAGATTAAAGAATTCTGTTTGAAGTCTTTTTGGAAAAACCCCAATTCTAACCTTCATATCAAAACATGCAGTTTCACTAGATCCTATCCTATGTCAGCATACTTATGCAGTAAGAATTATATTCCATGATTTTGCTGTCGGTTTTTTAAAGGGGATATTCATAACGCGAAAGCATTAGCCTCCCACACTCACAAAAGTAGTCATGGTCCATATACTCTGCAGTAGTAAACGGCTATTTGTGCTCAGTCCATTGTCTGAACTCCTGCCACACTGGAAAAGACGCTGTAGTTTACCCTTTGTTTCCATACCCATCTCTTCCCCAGTCCAGCAGCCTCAAGAACCTCAGCAAGATGAGAATTCATGCAAATACAAATCTGCCCGCACAGATCAGATTGCAGGATGAGGACCAACAAGTCTGATTCTAATTAGAAGCTAGGCTTAATTTAAAGCTTTTCCTACACAGTGAAACTCATCACTAAAGAAAAGCTGAACTCCAAGATTTCCTAACTGCAATTTCCTGTTATTTGCAACACCTATTAGCATACGACAAACCAATCACAGTGTCAGTTAATGTAGGAAGAACCACTCTATCACTAAAATTAGTTAAAACACTCATCTTCAAGCCTTCTGGAGCCTTCTTCAGTGAAAGCTTAGAGCATGCAAGGAATGCATAGTTGGGCCCCCACAGACCTATGCATACCATAGAGGGGAGAGAAAAGGTTACTTTAAACAAAAGGCAGAATTACACCACATCTGTGCAAACATTTAAACCAGCTTGTTTCAAGTAGTTATCTGCGTATCCCAGCTCTTGCTGCTGACTGTACTTGGCTAATTCAAGAGAACGTGATGAACCCAATTTGTTTAAGGGAATGGAACTTCTTTTTCTGCAGGTATCTTCCCCTCAGCTGACCACATCATAACAAAAGTGCAATAATTTACAATCTTTTCAAACAAACAACTATTAAAATTATACCATTTTAGGGAAACAATTCACTAGTTTAACCATAAAAATATTTCCCCAGGTAACAAACCTTAAAGCATTCAGTAACACAGTATTTCAATAAAAATAATAATACAGAAAATCCCTTCCACTTGTTATCAAAGACAGAACTGTTAGAAGATTTTGTTTATTGGACACTATTTAAAAGTTTCTGCCATCTTGTGAAGACCATGCTGTAATTAAGAATATAACTGTAATTTTCAGTAAATGAGTATGGAAATACTGACCTGACTTTGGAATTCTATTCTTAAACTTTTACAAATGAAGACAAGGTAAAGACCAGGGCCATGTCATCCAGGTACTCAAGAACTTACAAGACAGTTTACATCCAGAGTCATAAGAAAGCACCACTTTCCATAAAGCACTTTGTATGTCTATTGCTGAACAGCTTATTAAATAGTTTCGTGAGAACTGCTGAAACAGATTCTCATATAAACTGTAGCTTGACTTACAGAATTCAGGTTTGGAGATAACAGGGAACTTGGTGACAAAATTATACTCCGAAAAAATATCTGCTAAATTTGGTCCAAGCATCCGAAAAACAAACAAGGGCACCTGGGTCCCTCATTGCTTAATGTTGCTGTTTAGTTGATCCTTAAAAAAAATAAAGAAGGTGTATGGCAATAAGGAATAAGAAGGGCTGCCCATGATGGGCACATAACTGTGACAGAATAAATAGTCTCTTCAGAGAGATGTTTTAACTGCGGTTTTGCCATGTAAGTAACTGAGCTTGTACTAGTTGAGAACCCTGAAATTTGTATACTATAGCCACAAGAAATTATTTCCTAGTTAAAAAACAGATCCATTTGTAATTAACTTCTTTTCCAATCATCATTAGATATGTGAAAAACAATAAAAAAATCTTTTAAAACAATTACAAAGAGTGGACTGCAGTAGCAGCTATTCAAGCAAGATTCAAGCACAAGTTTAAATGAATTTTCAAGCTGGGAATTAGCCTTCCTTGTCAAAAATTTGTACAACTTTTTCAAAAACCTAAAAAGAGAGAGAAGAATATTTATTTTATGAAGTGCTAGTCAAACAATTACTTCAAGTTAAATCAGCACACACAATAATTGACAGTATTTAAAAATATATATTGGCATAAATTCCAGGCAACAGAGCCAGAAGAGCAATACTAGTTCAGAAAAGCAAAATCTTGTGAAAATGAAAACGACAAGACATTGTTAAACACAAACACTGAAAATATGTTTAGTCCAGCTCATGTTCAAGCAGAAATAATTGATTTCTTAAAGTTAGTGACATCTTAATCAGTTCTTCAAGAGTCAAAATGAGAGTTCCACAGCCTCCCTCAGTAATACACATCAGTGCTTAATTAGCACACTAACCACACATACACACATCTCAGAAGAATTCCAAAAATATGTACCCTGCCACTGTCATCCCCATATTTTTTTGATTTATATACTTACTTCATCAACAGATTTAGAGGCATCCACTTTTCTGACTTTTCCCATTCTCTCATACAAGTCTATTATAGGCTTAGTAGACTGCAGATATGTATGAAGTCTAGAATGAAGCACAAGGAGAAAAAGCATTACATAGTAAAATATAAAGAGAAGGGGACTGAAAAGTTTTGGAGATAATACCTCTTTTCCAGGCTTTGACGATTATCATCACTCCTACCACTGCTCTTGCCTCTTTCAAGACAGCGGCCAATACATATCTACAAAAAAACACCAAAAGGATGATCACAACCAAGAACACAAGGTGTTATCTTGAAAGTGGGAACACAACAAAAAACCTGAAAAACTAAATAGGCCTCATACACAAAACACTGTCCAGATCTGGGGGATGTAACCAGAAGTCACATGGAAAGTTAAGATTCTTTCATAGAATCACAGAATGGTTTGGGTTGGAAGGGACCTTTAAAGGCCATCTAGTCCTACCCCCTGCAGTGAGCAGGGACATCTTCAACTAGGTCAGGTTACTCAGAGCCCTGTCCAACCTGTCCTTGAAGCATGATAGCTTTACACTTCACCAGTTTATTAAAATAGGGTATCTTCAAATGGGATTGAGGTCAGTAGAAGAAACATCAAGCTCTGAGGTTTGACTGCGTCTCTAACTTGGAATGTTTCAAGATGAAAACTACCTGATTTTCAAGGAGGTGTTCAGACTTTCTGAAAAGCAGCATGTCAAATACTAACGTATGCCTGCACTGAAAGAAGCTCACTGTATATTCTCCCAAGAATTTTGTGAGGCTACATACTAAATTATTAAAATTTAAGTTGTTCTTACTTTACATTGCTATAACGAAGCAAATAAAAAGAAAAAGCTAAGTAAAAATTGAAGAACTAACTAAGTTAGTTCTAACCAGTTAAAAGCTGCCCAGTGAACCAAGCTTTAAAGCACAAAGTTAAGTAATCAGTGCTGACACAGGTACACCTCATGAATATATTTACTTCCCCATGCAAGAGGACAATGGTTAAAAATCTTCTCCTACAAAGTATACCTATAGTTAAAAAACAAACAAACAAACCTAAAACCCAAACCCCAGAAGCTCATGTAGGCATTGTTGTATATTTTTAGATCTAGTGAAAAAATTTAGAATGCAAAAATTAACACCTCACCAAATAATAAAAAAATAATTTAACTTTATTTGGTTTTAAATAGAAAAAATAACCCCTCACTTGTTCTTAGAGATGAAGAAAATTTGCAATTAAGTAAAAAAAAAAAGTAATAACATTTCTTGTGAAATTGGGGAAAAGAGTAAAAGGAAGAAAGTCAGCTTAAGGTGCTGGGATTCTCATATCATTTTTTATCCCTCAAGGGCACCAACATACTAAAAAGACAGCAAATCATGATGCTTGTTAAATGAATATAATGTATCACTGTCAAAATGCCCTTGTAACGTAATGACTTGCTGAATAAAATGTTGATTACTGGCTATCCTATAATACAGCTTGTATCTGTGAAAATAAAGACGTAGAATTAAATCAAACAACAGTTAGTAAGAGTCATCAGAGTAATGTTTTCTGAAAATTAACCAAATAATTTTGTTTAATGTATTTAAATAAAAAAAAAAAATTCCCTGACAATGCAATTGCCTGAAGTTCTTCTTCAATGTAATTTATTTGCACAAGATTATATCAAGTGTAATTAGCTGCCTGCTATTTCAAAAACATAGTTTTTCACCTGCAAAAACAAGTTGCCAAAAAATCCTTGAAACTCACAGACCAAGTTTTCCTTCTACTCTTACGCTATCTGACAGAGTTTTATTGTTCTTCTTGAATGATTCTCACAATATAGTAAGAAAGGAAATTACAGAGTAACACACTTCATTACCTCATTGTCACAATCAAAGAAGAGAACAAAAGAAACATCCGCCTTTCCATCCATAGTCTTATTCCAGCCTTGAAGATTATCTTCATTCCTGGGAAATCCATCGATCAAGAACTTGTTCTTCTGGGAATTGCCAGCCATTGTTTGATCCATAGCCTGATAAAACAGAATTCAATTCATGATCTCCTGCACATGCAACCATTTATCTACTTATTAAATTACCCGCAAAATGTTGACATGGTAATTAAGAAGCATTTATTTTAGGACTATTGCATGTTTACAAAATGTATTTTTGTTTCACCGTCAATGCATGCTAATTAACTCACTGATGCACCAATACAGGCTTCTTTCAAACTGAATTCACTGCTTTAGAGCGCTCAAAATCTCATAACACACCATCCCAGCTTTAAAAGTTGATTTTTTACAAGACACTGGAAAGTGCTGCTACACAATAAGATGCCAAAACATCCCTGATGTGGAGTTAAATCTAATGGAAAAACTCCAGATAAATTTAGTGCCATGAGCAACAGATGCCTTTTCTGTCTTAAAGGAGATACTCTGGTGGTTTTCCTGGTCATCTAACAAGGCAAAAGGCTGGAGCTTTTCCTTCCACAGGAAGGTTAGCAGGTGCTCTTCTCCTTCACCTGCTTGTCTCTTTTGATAAAACTTATAGGAACTTAGTACCTTTAAGGCCTCTATCCTCCAGTCAAATATGACTGAGCTGACCAAGAGGTCCAAAAGCTAGTTAAGGGAAATAAGAAATAAAGAGTTTCACTGATTTCCCTAGAGCTACAAATTAAAATAAAATAAAATAAAATAAAA